TGCTACTATAAATTAGGATTTCTAGCTTAATTTGAGCACTTTTACATCTGGAAATCATCAGCTTTTATTAACATGAGCCAGATGCTTTGACATTTATCTACCTAAGGCTGACAAAATACCTCTTCCACATAAAAGCTTAATGTTCATGCTGTTGGGGGCTGCTTGGTTAACGCTGCACTGACACCTGTTTGATTTTAATTCAAGAACAGCTGTGATATACCGCTTTTTGGTGTAGGAGGGTAAAGAGGAATGATTCGCCCTGACTGACTGAATTCAGCTTTTGAAAACCACCATGTATACTACTAATCTGTAGGAGGTTCAAGGAAAAAAAGGACTCACAGAGCACACTGTGAACAGCTCTCCATTATTCAACGTATAGTGGAGCCTCAGGTGTGACCTCAACAACAACATCAAAGAGATGTTTTCCTCTCTAAAGCAACACTTGTGGCTCCTCTGCTGTGTCGCTCTGAGTGACGGCGTCATTCATGAACGAAGGGACGAGCCACAAAGCTCTTGAACCAGAATCACACATGTTGCTTCTAGACATTCAATCTCAAACTGAGGATCAGAGGAACTAATATGAAAATAAATCTGCCCCTTGTGTGAATGAGAATGAAGGAAAGAGATGACATGCAGTGTCCTCTTTGGTAATATTTAATCTACTTTCTAAGCATGAAAGGCTGGTTCACCCATTTCATGATGAGTGAGAAACTGGAGTTCTCCCTGCTAGCAACAACAAAGAACATATAAATACTTGTGTACATATATCGAATTTCCATATATGACATATATGTACATACAAAATAAAAACACAAATGTAAAAATTATATATGAAATGTATTAGAAATTGGAATAATTTCATATATCGACATATATGTCTAGTCTATACAAATATGTATGTTTATGTATATATGTTTATATTGTAGACTTACGTTACATAAATATATATACATGAGCTTTGAGATCTAAGGGATCTAGGAGCTGGATGAGATGTGAGATGTAAGGTGGGGTCTGACCATTGAGAGCCTTAAAGGTAATCAGCAGGGTCTTGAATTGAATTCTGAAGTGAACAGAAAGCCAGTGAAGGGAGGCTAAGACTGGGGTAATGTGCTCGTGTTTTTTAGTGCCAGTCAGAATCCTAGCAGCTTCATTCTGGACCAACTGCAACAAGTGAGATACTGAGGTTTGATGAAGCCCTAATACAGAGAATTGCAATAGTCTAGTCAAGAAGTGATAAAAGCGTGGATTACGTTGAAGGACAGAATCGGTTTCAGTTCGGAGATGGTTCTTAACTGGAAGTAACTACTTTTAACAACGGAGGTGATATGTTTGTCAAGGCAGAGCTTGGAATCAAGGGTTACACACAGGTTTTTAGCGTGAGGTTACACATATGGGCTAAGGTGGTCAAGATTACTTGTGAGGTGGGTTTAAATGAAGGATGTAGTTTGCCATCCAGGCCTTGATGTCCTTAGAGCAGTCCAGGAGAGGTTGAAGGGAGTCTGTAGGTTTTAGTGGGAGGTAGAGCTGTGGATCATCAGCATAGAAATGGCATGAGATGTTATGTTTTCTGATGATGTATCCAAGGGGCAGCATGTATAGGCTCAATAGGACTGGCCCGAGGATGGATCCCTGGGGAACCCCACTGGTGACAGGGGCAGAGGAGGAGGAGGACTGGTCTATAGCCACTGAGAATGTCCTGTGTTTGAGGTAGAATCCAAACCAGTTTAAAGCAGTACCCTTAATACCAACCCACTGTTCTAGACTGTTAAAAGGATGTCATGGTCAACTGAATCAAAGGCAGGACTATGGTCTAGTAGAATGAGGAAGGTGTTTTACCTGGAGTCAACAGTGAGCAGTAGGTCATTGGTCACCTTTAACAGAACTGTTTCTGTGCTGTGGAGGGCACTGAACCCTGATTGGAATGGATCTTGTTGGTATTCAGAAATGAGTGCAGTTGTGACCGAACATTCTTTTCCAGTAATTTTGCAATAAAAGGCAGTCTAGAAATGGGCCGAAGAGAGAGAGGGAGAGAAAAATGATCTGATGTTTCAAATTTTTTCTGTGAAAAACTTTTCACAGGAGTTTACAGAGGCGTCGATATTGTGGGAGGGGCGGGGAGTGAGGATAGAATTGATAGTGCTGAACAAAATTTTTGGTCTGTTAGAATGTTTACTGATGATCTCAGAGAAATACTTAGCTCTGGCTTTCTTGGCTGCTGTTTGAAAATTGGCAAGACAATTTTTAAATATTTCCAGTGAGACTGAGAGGTGATCTTTTTTCCATCTCCGTTCAGCTCTACAACAGGCCTGCCTGAGGGAGCGGGCTGAATCACCCAGCCACTGATAGGTTTTAAGTTTGGGATGTCGATATTTGTGGGGGACTACGGAGTCCAGGATAGCTGAGCAGGAGGAGTAGAAGAGGGAGATCAATTTATCTGGGATCAGAAGAGGCTCTGCAGTAGAAGAGATGGAGGTTGTGATGGCCTTTCTTCTGCAAAGTCAAGTGCAGTGAGACAATTTATATGGCAAGAGTAGTAACCAGATGTTTCGACACTAAGCCGGGGACCTGATAGGGTGGTACTGAAAACTATTGGATTATGATCCGAGAAGCATGCATCTTCAGTTCTGAGTTTGTCGATAGTGAGGCCTAATGACATAATGAGGTCAAGTGTATGTCCTAGCACATAGGTGGCTCCGGTTACGCGCTGGAGAAGGCCAAAAGAGTCCTGGACATGTTTGAATTTGTTTGCCATAGGTTTGCCTGGGCAGCACACATGGATATCAAAATCACCCAGGATTACCAATCTGTCGTACAGCGGGACAATACTAGACAGGCATTCAGAGAATTATAGAGATATGAACTCTTTATCTGTCTTTGGTGGTCTATTGACTAGTACACAGACTAGTGTATTAATGTATTAAGGTATTATAATTTGACATATTAACAATAATTAGTTAAGTTATCATCTTCCTGCTGTTTTCTTGAGTCTGGCATTTATACTTTTATACAGCAGGAAGGTATCTCCTCCACCCCAAATTCATACCAGACTCAAGATGTCAGAGGTAAGTAAACACCACTGACTCCATCCTTTATATCAACAACAGCTCTGATCTCCATTACACATGGAGGCTCAGGGCTCCTAACTAATTATTTTCACCATTCACGCAGAACCACACAATCTAATCTGTCCCTGAAATGAATGTGGACCATCCCGAATTTAAAGTCTTTGTTTTTCTACGTTATTATTAGTTACAATTATTCAAAGTGACTTTTAAGATAAATAACACACACACACACACACACACACACACACACACACACACACACACACACACACACACACACACACACACACACACATAACATTTGTTCAGGCAGGGTGAGTGTGTTTGCAATGATGTATAATGTAAACCAAGACTGCAACATTATATTACTAGATTTCAGCATTAAGGTTCAATTACATTCCTGATTAAGCAAAGACTCTAACTTAAAAACCTGTTATATCGAATGATGAGATTTCAGTGCACCACCACCAGGGGACGCCAGAATCACTCTGGCAATCAATACCAGCAGTGATGTTTGAGTGTATATGTTGTCAGATATGTGCATTCATAACATTACCAGGGTCTTTTTTTCTCCAACTCTCGTCCAAATTTTCATCCCAAAATTAATTTACATCCTTTCTGATCCTGTTTTTATCGGCTCCCGGACGACGGGAGGTTCTTATGCTTGAGCCCTGGGAGGCTCCATGAGTAGTATCAAGGAGAAAGATGGCGTTGTTTTTACTTACTGATTCATTTAATCTATATATTCCCACGTCCAGAGTGAGCCTGATGAACTGTTGTATATGGTAATGAATCGATCAATTATTTGATTATGCAAATACAGAGATCAGTCCATCATGTAGACTGGTATTAAGTACACATTCTAAAATACCTGGTAACGGGTAAATATTTAGTCATCGACTAGACATCCAATAAGATACAGTATCAACACATCTAAAGACTGAACTATGTATGCAGCAATATTAGGGACTGACTAAGAAATCAGCCAGTTAATATTAATGGCCAAAATTAGCTTACCACAATTAATACACAGTGTTGTGCCAGTTCACACTTAAAAAAAAAAAAGTTCAAAGTTCAGTTCATGCAGATGAAAATTAAGTTCACAGTTCCAAAAATGAACTAGTTCACATTAATTTGTTCCGTTTATTTTAAATAAATAGGCCGCTATTCTTTTTCAAAAGAACCTCCTTCGACCCATCCTTCATCAGCCCCAAATCATTGCCACTCCCAAACTATTTTAATCATTTTACCCCACTGAAGAATCACAGACATGAGTTACATTTAAAACTGCCTGTACCGCTAGAACCAGCCATGGTGGGCCGTGTCTAAGGAGACATCATGCGGCATGCCGTAAAACTGTCGGAAAACGAGGTGTTTTCGGGCGTTCACTCGTTCACGTTCATCATTTGTAAACTGATTCATTTAGTTCAGCGTTCACAAAAAATATCACCGTGTTCAAAGAGCACTGTTCATTGAACATGTTTATGCACCACACTCTAATACACCTAGCTAGAACTAATGAAGTCTAATGCAATGTGTAATAACTCCTACCCTCCTAGAGGTGATAAGGTTCAGTGTTGATGTGTTGATTCAACTTAATGGTCATTTTAAAGGCTTTTGTAGTGTGTGGTGCTGTTGAATTGTACTGTATTATATTCAGAGGAGTTCCTAATATTCTGTCCACTAAATATTCTGAGTGTATGAGAACAGTTAAAGAAGCTGCAATACAGAAAACCCAAAGATACATTTGCCATAATTTAAGGTTAGAGTTGAATCATAATTTTTTAATAACCAAATTTAAGAGGCTCCTTATCAAAAGAATTTGTTTGTGATGCGATATATGAGACTTTTCAACATTGTTTTATCAGTATCAGTAACTAATATTCAATCAATACTTCCAGTGTACCAGTGCTGTGACAGTTGCTTCGTACTCACTCGGTGTCGGTGATGACGTAGCCAAAGACATCGTCGTCAGCCTTCTTCCTGCTGTCTTTGACGTCCAGCTGCAGCTCGGGGACATGCAGCGTTTTCTTGTGCGGCTCGTCGTACACAAGGGAAGCAGGAGGGGGCGCCACCTCCTTGATCCAGCCCTCCACCTCTGACACCTCCTCCACAGACTGGGTGGCGTCCTTCTTCTGCACCGTTATTCCCACCTCGCTGGTCCGACTCTGGACGTTCTCCAGCCCCACCTGTTGGCCTGCGGGTGTCTCCATGGCAACGTCATTTCGGTTTCTTGCTGAGGGATAAGAGCTCAAGGAAGTTTTGTCCAGGTAGGCGAGAAGTTTGGTGAGGAGGTCTCCAGTCTCAGCCTGAAAAATGACAAAGAAGTGTTCTGAGTAAGACAGGGTCAGCTTCAGCCTCCACACACAGGTGTTTTCATTTGACTGATTAGACCTCGTTTCAGCTGCGGTGTACAGACTGGGCTTGATTAACGTCTCATTGTTGCACCTGTTAAAGGGGAGAGCATAGGGGAGATCTGCAATGGTATTATTTAGTCTGAGGAGCCGAAATTGGATGATTTGGAAAATAGCTGTGCTGTCATTACTCTGCTATAAAGAATTTGTAGCCAGATTATTGTAGTTATTATGCAGACCCATTACCAGATAGCAGAATTACTCTGGCAAATATTTGGGTCACATGTTTGTTTTGCATTAATATAGCAAAATTAAAAAGTAAAATTTGCATTAATATAGCAAAATTTTGCTAATGCTATTGATAATTAGCATCTTTTTTTCTCCCTTTCATACTTCTAGATGTGAGTTTAATGAAATAATGTGAGTTTATTACTGTAATTGGCTGGTAGTTTAAGTTGTTTAGGATCTCCAAACAGCTCAGCACCATGACAAATGATTCAAATTTCAAAAACTTTAAACACATCTCTGACAGTACACTCATAAACCTCTATAATAACATATTCAGATATCAGACTTCAGTAATGAGACATTGTTCAATCAAGATCTTTTGTCTAATCGGCTGAAACTGAAATGGTGGGAGCTTTTCTGTGGGTAACGATGTACTGCTTCAAGCATGAGGAAATAATTGCTTTAAATCAAAGAACAGCCAACCTGTCAGAGTTTAAACTGAATGGGACTATAATATGCTGTTATTCCTCTGCTGCTAGCTTCAGGGTAATTGCTCGTCTTGTCAAGATCCAAATGGCAGAATAACTACAACGCTACCTGAGCCAAAAGCTTACTTTGATTAAACTTGTTCTGTCTGTGAGCACTTAAAAATCTAATTTTCTTTACAATATCAAATTATTTTTGGGACCAGTAAGACACAAAGTACAGATTGAAGACACAACAAAACACAGCAAACAGCATCAGAAACAATCATTTCTGAGAGGCTTTGAGCCTCTCTTCTGATTGGATGATTGGATGTTTTCTGAGTGATCCAATAAAATTATATATGATTTCAGGTGAACACGCTGAGAAACATAATCCTGCAAGTTTGGATGGTGGGTCCAGGTGGGCGGGGCTTGGGGCATGGCTGAGAGCGGTGACTGCTTTGTTGTGACATCACAAAGTTACAGAAGTCCTGACGGCTGGTTTTAAGGCTCAGTTTCTGAATACAGGCTGTGTGCATTTCTCTGTGGACTGAGGCTTTGATACTTTCACAGTATTAATATAGAACCTAGACCTGATCTATAATCAAACAACACATGGACATCTACCTTTATACAATATGGGACCTTTAAATTCATCAAGAAAGATGAGACATTCCAATTTAAAATAATTTGCAATTCAAAAGTACTGGAGTACTGGTCAGCCATGAGGTAGGTAGGTAGGTAAGTAGGTAGGTAGGTAGGTCGGTAGGTCAGTAGGTAGGTTACTTTATTTGTACCCATAGGTAAATTTCTGGTCTGATGAACAGTAGCTTTAAATTTTAGAAGGTATGTAATATAATGAAGCACCTTCAGCAGGAGACATTTAGAAATAGAAATTATGTATCTAAGTAAGTAGTTTTCTTGTTGCTCGTGTGGATCTGCCAACTTTCTCCTAAAGCACACAACAAGATTGATCACTTGAGGAAGATGCATATTACAAGGATCTCAGTCAGAAACAACAATGCAAGTTGAAGGTCTGCTGTCTGGATCTATTCATCTATTCAACATATAACAATGTATCTGTGGAGACTGTAGCATGTCCAAAATGTAGCACTGAGACTACTGGCTTTAGCGAAACAATATGATCATATTTCATTGTATCAAATCCCACAATGAACCTCATGTAGTACTTACTTGCACAATGTAGTGTTTTGGAATTCTTTATTTGAATTCTTTTTATCAATAGAAGTACTATAGTATGGATTAAGTGACAGTAACATCTGTAGAAGAATAACATGCTAAACCATACTGAAAAATGATGTCATTACTACATGATTAAGTTTGACAACTAGCTTTACAGCATTACAGAATTGAAAAAAAGGTACAAATTCCCCAAAAGTTTCTGAAAACTAGACTTGATTCATTATGTACATTATGTATAACTTTATTCTGAATTTTCTCAAAGGATGTTGAGTTCCTGCTAGATTCTCTGGACAGTTACTTCACCTTCAACTGCACAATCTGAAGTTCTTTTGAAAACTGCAGGCCATGGGGTTCATTTCCTTCCTCATACAGAAGATATTTTTTTTTCTTACCACAAACTGAACGCTTACCGTGTCCTTCACATTTTGCTCTTCTGTATCCGTATGGCGCTCTGTTGGGAGAAAGAGTAAATACATTCATACATTTTGTGTTCATCAGGGAGGGGTATAGAAAGAGAGAATGTTTTAATCAAACAGCACAATAATAAATGTGCACAAAGAGCTTAAAGCCAGTTGCAGATCTTCAAATTTCAAGGATATTTTCTTGATTGCAAACTCATCCTTGTGTTATATTTGACTGATGTGCTCCTGTAGTAATTTTGTTTTTCACTGATTTTCACTCGTTATTAAACCCTGAAAAAAACACCAGTAAATGTGCAACATGGTTCAGTATTTTTTAGCCATTTTTAAGGTATTTGTTGGCGCTTTTACTTGTAGTGTAAACATTTTCAGTCGGAGTGGTCTCAGTGGACGGTGAACCATTAAAACTGGCTCTGTTTATTCTGAGCTAAACAGGATGCCTATTAATTTTCACATTGATTTTTATGTTGCACTCTTGTGCCGAGTTATTTGAGAGCTCCTTTTTTTTTTTTTTTTTTCAACATACAGAATTATGTGGATACTATACACTTGCTTTTCAGCGTCTGCTCAATACTTAAATTGTGTAAAAACAAAATCACTATGAAATTACCTTGAAGTGCTGCCGGCATCTTAGAAGTGCTCCCCTGTGGTTTCAGTGTTGGAGCAGTCTCCAACAACTTCTCCTCTTCCTCATCTCTGGCAGCCTCCTCCTCTTCTCCCTCCCCATTCCTCAGCTCTCCCTCCAGGTCTCTCGGTCCAGTTCTCATGCGAGTCAGGCCCCTGTTGATTCCTTGGTCCTGGTCGACCACCTGCAGGGCGTCAGCGATCAGGCTGGACAGCTGATCCACGTCCTGTGGTGTCAGGTCGTCCACGTCCACATGCTGCCTCCCAGCGTTCTTCAAAACGTTCTCGATGAACCTCTCTGGAGGAGAGATGGACGTGACAGAGGTAAAATAACAGTCAGAGTCAGACACTGTCCTTTTGAATAAATGCTTAAAACGACCTTTGTTTACTTGAGAGCGGAATCTGCAGCTGTCCTCAGCTTCACAGAGAGTTTCAGCTCATTGTTTATGTGTCTGGACCACAACTTACTGTTGTGGTTCACTCTCACCATTCTCATAACAGCAGCAGGCAGCTGTTTTAAGAGAGACAACACTGAAATGCCACTGTCCACTACCTGCTCAACAGCAAACAGCAGACAGAAAGCCAAAGAGAAAGAGAGAGACAGTCTCATAAAAACAGATTAAGACACAACCTAAGGAACCAATCCTGTCATTTTGTAGGGACGGGGGGGGGGGCTAAATACACCTGAAACCTTGTCAGTACAGAGAGAGAAAGTTAGTATTAGCACAACCACTGACACTGTGCCAGCTACTGCCAGTTACAAGCTAACAACCAACATAAACAAATAAAAGATGCTAACTGCGCTAACTGTTCTGATACGTCTACTAGTCTCTGGTTCTGACTGAGGCTCAAACATGTGGCTGAGTCTCTCTGATGTTTCCTCCTCTCACCTGCTCTTTTGCCTGTCCACCTGGAGCAAGCAGGTGGTGGGCGGGGCTCAAGGCCTGATCCAGATTTCTCAATCAGGAAGTAAGAGGAGATGAGCTTCAGCCCCAGTTTTCTAAATTTTTTTCACTTTTTATGTGTGAAAACCATGTTACACAAAATATTAATCATAGTAGAAAGTACATTAATTCAACACAAAGATCAACACACAGCTGTTTTAAGAGTGTTCTGGTATATTTTGCACTATTTTATTTTGAGTTAGTGTTGCACTCATTGTGAAATGAGGGGGGTAATCAAGCTCAGGTTGAACACGATGTTTGAAAAAGGTCACATTTTAAATGGTATTTGCAAAACTTTCTTGTCATTGGTGAATAAATATGAAATATTTTACCCCTGTGATGATGACTAAAAGAATGTGATCTCTGATGATTAGATTTGGTCTGATTTGCCACAAATGACACAAAGAAGTCTAATAAATATGTTAAAAAATATATTATATACCAAGTTTATGATTTCAATGAAAGTTTAATCTGAAACCTCCCTATCGTTGTTCATCTGTTGCTGCTGCTTGTACTGGAATGAGTCAAAGCCTGATAAAATTCCCTCTTCTTCCTGCTCAAGCACAGCAAGTGCCACTCTGTTCATACATTTCTTTGTTTCCTCCCCATCAGATCAGTTTGAAGATTAGATGGCTGGAACAAACATGTGGTGGAGTAAAAAAACTGAACGGCGCTGTGAAAGCTCTAAGTAATTTAAAACTCAGACAGTCGTTGCCACTGAGAGGTGAAATGGCGCAGAAAGGAGTTCGTCTGGACCTGGAAATCTTGTCTTGTTCAATCTGTCTGGCTCTAATGAAGAAGTGACTATTCCCTGTGGACACAGCTACTGCATCAACTGTATTAAGAGGATCAGAAGAAAATCCACAGCTGTCCTCAGTGCAGACAGACCTTCACATCGAGGCCTGTCCTGGTGAAAAGCACCATGTTAGCGGTTTTAGTGGAGGAGCTGAAGAAGACTGGACTCCATGCTACTCCTGCTGATCACTGCTATGCTGGACCTAACTTTGTGTTACCACCTACTGAAGCTCATGTTGAACACTGTGTCTGAAAAAGGTTCATCTTCACATTGTGATTGAAAAGAGTATGATCTCTGTTAATTCATTTGGATGAAACTAAAAGGATGATATCAATAAAATGTTTTTTTTTTTTAAATAATAGAACCAGGTGATCTGCTTCATTCATGGCTTTCTGAATTCAGAGTTGTAGCAAATAACTTACATGATCCAATGATATTTCTTTAAACATATTTAAAATTTGGAGTGATGGTTTGGCTTACGATGACTTTCTGAGTTTGATCTGATTTTCACAAATGACCCAAAGAAGTTTATTACATATGTGAGAAAATTATTATTATATTGTGGTTTTAGTGTTTTATTGACAGATTATTCTGAGGCCTCTCTATCATTGTTCATCTATTTTTTAATGAATAAGAATAAACTGATTTTGAGGAGTGAAATATCTTAGAGAAATATTGAGACATCACCAAACCCTCAGGTGCCTAGAAGTACTTTAAAACTCAAGACATAATTATTATCAAATGAAGAGAAGAATTTTTGTTCAAATGCACAGCTGCTACTTCTTGTCCTGCAAAGAGTCAAAGTCTGATAACCCTCCCTCTTCTTCCTGCTCTCAAACACTTCAAACTCATTTCTTTACATATTTCCTTGTTCCCTCCCCTTCAGATCTACAGTTTGAAGATGGGTGGAACCAACATGTGGTGAAGTGCAAGAGCTGACAAGCCCCGTTCACTGCAGAGACACATGTTGTTCAGATCAGAGCTCAAACTAGATTCAGTTCTACAGAATTGAAACTCAGACGGTCGTTGACAGTGAGAGGTGAAATGGCGCAGAAAGGAGTTCAGCTGGACCGGGAATCCATCTCTTGTTCCGTCTGTCTGGATCTACTGAAGGATCCAGTGACTATTCCCTGTGGATACAGCTACTGCATGAACTGTATCAAAAGTTTCTGGGATGAAGAGGATCAGAAGAAAATCTACAGCTGTCCTCAGTGTAGGCAGACCTCCACACCAAGACCTGTCCTGGTGAAAAGCACCATGTTAGCAGATTTAGTGGAGGAGCTGAAGAAGACTGGACTCCAAGCTGCTCCTGCTGATCACTGCTATGCTGGACCTGAAGATGTGGCCTGTGATTTCTGCACTGGGAGAAAACTGAAAGCCTTCAAGTCTTGTCTGGTTTGTCTGGCCTCTTACTGTGAGAAACACCTGCAGCCTCATTATGATGTAGCTCCATTAAAGAAACACAAGCTGGTGGAGCCCTCCAAGAAGCTCCAGGAGAACATCTGCTCTCGTCATGATGAGGTGATGAAGATGTTCTGCCGCACTGATCAGCAGTGTATCTGTTATCTCTGCTCTGTGGATGAACATAAAGGCCACGACACAGTCTCAGCTGCAGCAGAAAGGACTGAGAGGCAGAGAGAGCTCCAGCTGAGGCGACAACAAATCCAGCAGAGAATCCAGGACAGAGACAAAGATGTGAAGGTGCTTCAACAGGAGGTGGAGGCTATCAATGGCTCTGCTGATAAAGCAGTGGAGGACAGTGAGAAGATCTTCACTGAGCTGATCCGTCTCATGGAGAAAAGAAGCTCTGATGTGAAGCAGCAGATCAGATCCCAGCAGAAAACTGAAGTGAGTCGAGTCAAAGAGCTTCAGGAGAAGCTGGAGCAGGAGATCACTGAGCTGAAGAGGAAAGACGCTGAGCTGAAGCAGCTCTCACACACAGAGGATCACAACCAGTTTCTACACAACTACCCCTCACTGTCACGACTCAGTGAATCTACAGACTCATCCAGCATCAATATCCGTCCTCTGAGCTACTTTGAGGACGTGACAGCAGCTGTGTCACAGCTCAGAGATAAACTACAGGACATTCTGAGAGACACATGGACAAACATCTCACTGACAGTGACTGAAGTGGATGTTTTACTGTCACAACCAGAGCCCAGGACCAGAGCTGACTTCTTAAAATATTCACAGGAAATCACACTGGATCCAAACACAGCAAATACATGTCTGTTATTATCTGAGGGAAACAGAAAAGCAACAGTAATGAGTCAACAACAGTCTTATTCTAGTCACCCAGACACATTCACTACATGTTATCAGGTCCTGAGTAGAGAGAGTCTGACTGGACGTTGTTACTGGGAGGTGGAGTGGAGAGGAGGAGTTTATGTAGCAGTTGCATACAAGAATATCAGCAGAGCAGGGAGATCGGATGAATGTTTATTTGGACACAATTACAAGTCTTGGGCGTTATATTGTGGCCAAAATTATAGATTTTTGCACAACAATATTGAAACTCCAGTCTCAGGTCCTCGGTCCTCCAGAGTAGGAGTGTACCTGGATCACAGAGCAGGTGTTCTGTCCTTCTACAGCGTCTCTGAAACCATGACTCTCCTCCACAGAGTCCAGACCACGTTCACTCAGCCTCTCTATAATGGACTTTGGCTTTTCTCTAATGTAGACACAGCTGAGTTGTGTAAACTCAGATAGACAAAGGTCATTTAAGGTGCAGTTCAGTTCAAAATTATACTTTGTTGATGTGTTCGTTGTTAAAAGCACATTGCTGTCTTGTTTCTGCACTGCACAGAGATCACCTGTCAATCAAACATTATGGGTGGTACTTTGACCTCTTCTCATCTATTGTTGTGTTGATGTTTGAGTTTCTTTAGGTGGAGCTGGAGTCATGGAGGATATCACTGCTCAGGATGATTTTTCTTTACCTAAACTGACATTTCTCCACATGAAAATATAAACTTCTCTGTGCTCTGAATGTTTGTTGAATATTTGTGTTGATGTATTTGTATTTATGAATATAAATAGTTTAAAAACAGTTTAAAAACTGAAATCTGATGCTGGTAACCAGAGATGTAGAAGAGGTTAAAGTACTTCAACTCAGTTTGTAAACAGTCTTAGTTCAGAACATTTATTAGAGATGTACGATATGATTTATGATAAATATGTATAATAAAAATACCTGCCGTGATGCATCATGGTTTGTGGTGTGAAGCTGTAGTAGACGCATCAGCATCATTTCAGGATAAAAAAAAAGCAGAAATCACTGCTTTTATTTATGATTGTTTGTCTTAAGATTCATCTGGATCATTTTGCTGTGTTTTACTTTGTGTTACCACCTACTGAAGCTCAGGTTGACCACTGTTTGAACAAGGTTCATCTGCACATTGAAAACTTTATATGTAGAATTAATTTAACTGTGATGAATAGAGATGAAACTCTTTACTGCTGTGATGATGATTTAAAAGAGTGTGATCTCTGCTGAAGTGTTTGATGAAACTAAAATGATGATATCAATAAAATCTTACTAAAAATAATAAAACCAGGTGATCTGCTTCATTCATGTCCTTCTGGATTTAGAGTTGTCACATATAACTTGTTTGATGTAGTGATATTAGTTTAAACCCATTTGAAACTTGGAGTGTGGGTTTGAATGAGGATGACTTTCTGAATTTGATCTGATTTTCACAAATGACCCAAAGAAGTTTATTGAATATGTGAGAAAATGTTTATACAGCAGGATTATTATTTTTATGAAAGTGTATGTCTGAGAACTAAAGACATGATTATTATCAAATGAGGAGAAAGATTAAAACGAGGAAGCAACGTTTAAATTCAATGCTGCCCCTCCTCCTGCAAAGTGTCAAAGTCTAATAACCCTCCCTCTTCTTCCTGCCCTCAAACACAGTGAGTTCCCCTCTGTCCATATTTCCTTGTTCCCTCCCCTTCAGATCTACAGTTTGAAGATGCGTGGAACCAACATGTGGTGAAGTGCAAGAGCTGACAGGCCCCGTTCACTGCAGAGACACATGTTGTTCAGATCAGAGCTCAAACTAGATTCATTTCTACAGAATTGAAACTCAGACAGTCGTTGACAGTGAGAGGTGAAATGGCGCAGAAAGGAGTTCAGCTGGACCTGGAAATCTTGTCTTGTTCGATCTGTCTGGATCTACTGAAGGATCCGGTGACTATTCCCTGTGGACACAGCTACTGCATCAACTGTATTAAAAGCTTCTGGGAAGAAGAGGATCAAAAGAAAATCCACAGCTGTCCTCAGTGTAGGCAGACCTTCGAACAGAGACCTGTCCTGGTGAAAAACACCATGTTAGCAGTTTTAGTGGAGGAGCTGAAGAAGACTGGACTCCAAGCTGCTCCTGCTGATCACTGCTATGCTGGACCTGAAGATGTGGCCTGTGATTTCTGCACTGGGAGAAAACTGAAAGCCTTCAAGTCTTGTCTGGTTTGTCTGGCCTCTTACTGTGAGAAACACCTGCAGCCTCATTATGATGTAGCTCCATTAAAGAAACACAAGCTGGTGGAGCCCTCCAAGAAGCTCCAGGAGAACATCTGCTCTCGTCATGATGAGGTGATGAAGATGTTCTGCCGCACTGATCAGCAGTGTATCTGTTATCTCTGCTCTGTGGATGAACATAAAGGCCACGACACAGTCTCAGCTGCAGCAGAAAGGACTGAGAGGCAGAGAGAGCTCCAGCTGAGGCGACAACAAATCCAGCAGAGAATCCAGGACAGAGACAAAGATGTGAAGGTGCTTCAACAGGAGGTGGAGGCTATCAATGGCTCTGCTGATAAAGCAGTGGAGGACAGTGAGAAGATCTTCACTGAGCTGATCCGTCTCATGGAGAAAAGAAGCTCTGATGTGAAGCAGCAGATCAGATCCCAGCAGAAAACTGAAGTGAGTCGAGTCAAAGAGCTTCAGGAGAAGCTGGAGCAGGAGATCACTGAGCTGAAGAGGAAAGACGCTGAGCTGAAGCAGCTCTCACACACAGAGGATCACAACCAGTTTCTACACAACTACCCCTCACTGTCACGACTCAGTGAATCTACAGACTCATCCAGCATCAATATCCGTCCTCTGAGCTACTTTGAGGACGTGACAGCAGCTGTGTCACAGCTCAGAGATAAACTACAGGACATTCTGAGAGACACATGGACAAACATCTCACTGACAGTGACTGAAGTGGATGTTTTACTGTCACAACCAGAGCCCAGGACCAGAGCTGACTTCTTAAAATATTCACAGGAAATCACACTGGATCCAAACACAGCACACACACTTCTGTTATTATCTGAGGGAAACAGAAAAGCAACATTAATGAGTCAACATCAGTCTTATTCTAGTCACACAGACAGATTCACCACATGTGAGCAGGTCCTGAGTAGAGAGAGTCTGACTGGACGTTGTTACTGGGAGGTGGAGTGGAGAGGAAGAGTAGGAGTTCGTGTAGCAGTTGCATACAAGAATATCAGCAGATCAGGGAGCTCGAATGAATCTGGATTTGGACATAATGACAAATCTTGGGCATTAAATTGCAACCAAAACAGTTATACATTTTGTTACAACAAAATCAAAACTCCAGTCTCAGGTCCTCAGTCCTCCAGAGTAGGAGTGTACCTGGATCACAGAGCAGGTGTTCTGTCCTTCTACAGCGTCTCTGAAACCATGACTCTCCTCCACAGAGTCCAGACCACATTCACTCAGCCTCTCTATGCTGGAGTTCGGTTTCCTCTTAATATGTGGATTGATTGTAATGGATACTCTGCTGAGTTGTGTAAACTCAAATAGACAAAGGTCATTTAAGGTGCAGTTGGTTTAAATCTGTATTTCAGTTCATCAGTTGATTTTATCTCCATCATTGTTGCTAAAAGCTCATTGCTGTCGTGTTTCTGCACTGCACAGAGATCACCTGTCAATCAAACATTATGGGTGGTACTTTGACCTCTTCTCATCTATTGTTGTGTTGATGTTTGAGTTTCTTTAGGTGGAGCTGGAGTCATGGAGGATATCACTGCTCAGGATGATTTTTCTTTACCTAAACTGACATTTCTCCACATGAAAATATAAACTTCTCAGTGCTCTGAATGTTTGTTGAATATTTGTGTTGATGTATTTGTATTCATGATAGAGAGATTATTATATGTAGAATTAATTTAACTGTGATGAATAGAGATGAAACTCTTTGCTGCTGTGATGATGATTTAAAAGAGTGTGATCTCTGTTGATGTGTTTGGATGAAATTAAAATGATGATATAAATCAAATCTTAATAAAAATAATAAAACCAGGGGCTCTGCTTCATTCACGTCCTGGTTTTCTTCTGGATTTAGAGTTGTCACATACAACTTGTTTGATGTGTTTCTTTTCCACATGTGAGATTCAGGTGAAATAAACTGACATCATTTATTGTGATGTTGATTTTCAATCAGTTTTTAACAGCAGAATGAAGCTGTCATGTTGGTTCTCAATTAAATAAACAGCCTCATAATTTCACCCATATTTACTGTTATTTCTCCTCAATTATATTTTCTGGGAAAGAGTTTATATGATATTCGAATGACTCAGTCCAACACAACAAAGTCAAGAACTGTATGAACATGCTCGTGATTTTCTTAAAGCACGTACCATCCACAGACGAGAGCGGGTCTTTGACTGAAGCCCCTTGAGTTCTTCCCATCTTCAAAAGTCTGGATTTCGAGGCCTCCTTTTTGAGCCCAGAATTTTCTATTCCGTTGCTGTAGAAGGGCGTCAGGCGAGGCGAGGCGGCCTCGTGCTCCTCAGGGCTCATCCCCCCACCGTGCAGGGACAGATGCCTGGAGAGATACTGCCTCAGGGCACCCAGGAGAATGTCACCCTCAGACTGCGTGGCTAGGAGCTGGTTGGCTAGAGGTCTCTGCTTCTGCTGAGGTTGGAGAGATGAAAGAGGAGAGAAGCTGGAGGGAGGTGACTTCTGAGCCGAAGTCTGGGCCTTGGAGCGATAGAAGTCTGCAGGGATACCCGACTGGAAACGGTCACTCTGAAAGAATGAAGATGAGCACATGCATTCATATAAAAAATAGCTACATTGGTCCGTGTGGACATAAAAAAAAACATACATGTTGTACATGTTGCAATATCGTTAAAATCAAAACTTGTCTGTAGAGCCAAGAGGAATTGAATGTTGCAAAATGAGCAGCTGTCCACATGTTGTAGTGTCCTTGAGCGAGATATCGGATCCCAAATTGTTCCAATCGTATGTGCACAGGAGAAAAAAGTGTCAACCAAGTGAGTGAAATATAATTAGAACATTCAAAATCATTATTTAACCACTTCTGTAGACAAGATTAGTTTTCATTATAAAAAATATTAATTCTGTGTTGATGTAGGTTCCTGGTGACCAAGGAGTTTAAGGTGCCAAGTGTGAACAACAAGTCCGACCCCTCATTTTATGTCATCTCTGTAATGTCCACTGTCTGATAAAGGCATAAAAATATATATGAAAAAAAAAAACAAGAGAAATGTCCCATTTGCTCTACTACTATTAAAATCAGAAACAATGAGCTGGAATATTGAGCAAAGATGTGGCTGCACAGCCCAAGAGTGAATGTATGCAACTGAATGCATGTGCGGTAGCATGCACCCTCATCCTGCCTGAGCAGCTTCAGTAAGTCTGTGCATGTTTCTGCTCTGCATCTGTTGTGTTTTTGCTTCTTTGCTACAGGACTGCCAATCAAACACAGTCACTTCCAACTGTCATGAATGTGTTGCAACCACTTTACCACTGGTCAAAATGTTTGAGCCTGGCAAAATAAATACGAGTAGTTAAATACATGTAGTAAAAATATTATAATATTCCTAAATATTTTTTAAAGCATTTACTTCTCCAAATAAGGATATTTATCTTGTTATTCTTTGCAAAATACCACATGGCGAGTTTACTTTACATAGCTCAGTTCATACACTGTCGCAGTGTTAAAGAGCTTTACATACATTTTAACGAATTTCAAACACAAGAGATACTCAAAAAATGGATGTAAAAGAGAATATAAACAGATGTATGAATATATTGTCTGTAAATTTAGAGACAAAAATAAAAAAAATTAATCACAACTCCAATTTACTTTCCCTTGATGAGAAAAAGGCATCTCATTAAGGGTTAGAAATGTAAACTTAAATGTTCAAGCTTTAGTGTGGTCTGCAGAGGTGCACATTGTGAGATGAGCTTGGTAACACTATCTCTGTCTGTTTTTAAAAAGAATTTTAAACCAGTAGTTGCTACTAAAATTTATTTAAAAACTTGTATAGTACCCTGAAAGGCTGGTTACGCTACTGTGTTCTTGGCTCTATTTACCATTTTTTTGATTGTGTATCTTGCTTATTGAATTCATGTTTAGACTGATGGGATAGATGTTTTTGGACCATTTAGTTTTTCTTCTTGGGGTTTTAGGTATTAGGTATGAGGATTTAGGTGTTTGGCAGTTGAGATTGTATTAGTACATGCAGTGAGTGGTTCCCTATTCACAAGCTTCTGAAGCTTATTGGAACGTCCAATTTTCATCCATTGCTATTATCATGTTTTTATGCTTTTACTTATTTGGATTTGTGGGAAATAAATGAAATGAAATGAATATGGTTGAACTTTCTGGTATGACTCCACTCAGTGAGAGCATTTCAATGCAGGAGCTACTTCTTTTGCTTTAATATCATAGACTTTCATCCAACATTTGAACAAAATAATTATTGACGTGAAAATAAAGCCCGGTTTTTGAAAAACAAGTTATTAATCCATCTATGCAACCATATTAACATATCCATCAGCTGCAACAAAAGCAAATTGTCACTGCCAGCTCCATTAACGCCCACCTAGGAGCACAGAAATGGTACAAGCCTGAATAACGGTAAAATTATCATAACAATACCGACATAAACGGGTAAGTTCCTCACAGTTGTCATACTTCTTTATGACTTGTGTATGCGCGGGCCCCTTCTGGTATTTGTCACTGCCGGTATCTCTACTCATCTACGTCACACAGTTGATGCAGTTTATTCCACTCGTCCTCCTGTTCCTTTCTCACTTTCCATCAAGCACGTGAACCTGGGTGGAAGAGGCCACGAGCCCCGAGCGACGCCCGCGGGCTCCACGTCGATCCCCCAGCAGGAGAAAGGCATGTCTGCGGACACGGCGGAGGAACCAGCCACATGGAGAGTTATTAATTAGAGCGGTGAACTCCTGAACTCTCTGCTGGTATTATTTCGCTCGTAACGGTCACGCTGGGAGAAGTCATCAGTTAAGATGGAGAAGCGGGAGCAGAGTGACAACGAAGGATGACACTGGACTCCCTACGGTGAAGGTGTGTGTGTGTGTGTGTGTGTGTGTGTGTCTTTGTGTGCTTCTTTATATAACTGGCTACTTGTTTGAGTGTGTGTGTGTGTATGTGTGGGCACTTTCTTTTTCTGTTAGAGGCAGGTGGCTGTGAATGGAGGGTGGGGCTACATGCAGATGCTGGGGTAAAAACAAATGCCCCACCTGCTCTTCCCCCTTTTCAAATGTGAAACAAGGAGCAAGAGGAGTTGAACTTCGCTGCAGTTCACCAACATTCAATCATATTACTGTCTGGCCCGTCGGATATCTTGCAATACAGATATAGTATTCATAGATTAAATAATCAGATGACAATGTAAGTCATTAACCATTCATTAAAATTGATAATTTCATAGTGTATGCATTCATATTACAGACTCTAACTCTAACTCACACTGTATTGAGCACCACGAACATGCCACTACAGGAAAAAAGTGAGACAAAGAAAGGGAGGAACGGATGTAGCGTCCTCCGACTGGCTGAGCAGGAAATTAAGTTCAGCTGTGTTATGAAACATTGTTGCCAAGGTTTCAACATACAACTCAGCTGGCAGTTTATTAGCTAGGCCCAGCTGAAGCTAACAGAGTTGACTTTATTGTCATATTGGAGGATGTAGCTTTTGCTGCTGTTGAACAGTATTGTGTTAAACTGGCAGGTGTTTCTATTATTTGTCTTCTTTAATACAGTTTATACTGTAATACAGTTTAACAGCAGCACCATCTTCATCATCCAAAAAGACAATAAGGTTGAATCAACACCTCTCTGGAACCGTTCAACAAAAATTGAACATTATACTCCATGATAGATCATTTATTGCAGCACTGTTGTATTGGTTTTAGTTGTTGTTCCTTATAAACTGAGTGTAAAGGCAACTTCACTTTAAGTGTGGATTTTATTTTTATTAGAGAGGCAGAGTGTAAACTCAGTTCTAGACGTTCATTTGTGGATCTGATCAGTCATTGTGTATTCAACTGACTTTTATGAGTAATTAAAATCAGGCTGCATAGCCAACAATAGCATTAACAGCTGTTTACATCCCTGTCTTAGCAAGAGCTTCAGGCATCATTGCGTTTACAAGACAAGAGCTTATCATACGTGAGGAGAGCTACTTCTTCAGAGCAGACTGGACGCTACAGTGACTCGGTACTGGAAAAGGGATGTTCCGCCCGGACTGGGGCTAGCTGGTTAGCATGCTAACTACAATATGAGAAAAAAGGTGATGGAAATAGAAGCAAAACATTAGCGTTGTTTCCTCTGCTCTTGGTGAGTAAAGGCATGAATTTTGAACTCACAACATTCAAAAGTTTCTACACTGGTAAGTAAACAGCTGTTAATGCTAATGTTGGCTATGTAGCGATAACAAAACTCACAAATAGCTACTTTAATACTCCAATGCCTGAAATTTTCTTTGTGTAAAATATTAAAATTTGTAAAAACCTGTGTGAAAATCCAATCCAATCCAGAAAAGGAGCTGATTAATAACTGACAGTAGAAAACTGGTTGGACTGATCAGATCCAATTGATTAACATGAGCAAATGGTGCAGAAATGTAATTAAAACGTCCTTAAAGTGAAGGGCAGTGGTAGTATAAGGTCACTTTAAGTCACCAGGATTAAAAGATAGTGGCATTAAACTTATAAAAAAAAACTGTGGATATATGAAATTGTTTTGATATTGCTGAATATCAGAATCTAAGCTCAGAAAATCCTGCAAAAACACAACAATAAATGCAACTGGCAGTGTAGCACAGAGACCCAGAGGGGATGAACCAAGCTCCCAAGAATCCTTCACCTTGCTAGGGGTGCTCAGGCCGGCAGCGGACGACATCTTGGGGAGGAGGCCGAGACGCTGAAGGTAAGTCTGCAGGTTTCTGCTGAGCTCCACCTCCACTGGCTTCACTCTCTGGTCTACTGGGTCCATCGCTTCAGCTACGGGCCTATAAGAGAGGCACAGAGAGGGAATGGGAGAGAATGGGAAAGAGGGCAAAATGCTCACCTTAGTTGAACCAATCATGTTCTGTCTCAAACATTATTTCAGTATTACAAAGCACAGCCACAAAATTCCTCTTTCACCAGACATTATGCAAAATTACTTTACAACAACTGTTATTCCTCCTCATTTTGTCATTTTACATTCAGGTCAAATCAAATAATCTAATTAAATAATCATGTAATATTGATTCATTCAAATGTCTAATTCATCTTTGCTAATATTAAACATTTGTTCACCCCGCAGCAACAGCTAAATACCCATCATTTCAGTGACTCATCCGTTGTTCCACTAACTCTTTTTTTCATATCAGTCTTTGGTATGAGCATCGTGAAGAAACAAAATCAAGGAAATGAATCAAACGAACGACACTGAATAAATAACTGACAAAGTGCATAAAGAAGTGAGTAATAAAAAAAAATTGTAAATGAATATTACAATAATATGGTGTTGAACATAATCCTCTGGGTTAAAACGCTACATCCAGTCATGCACAAAAACAAGGCTGCTGTTTCATTACCAGCTGAGCAATGAGGGCTTTCTGAGCTACATCAGCTCTCACTCTGAGAATAATAACTGAAAAACAGAAGTTGCCTATAAACCAAAATAATTGGGTGATCTTGACAAAAAAAACACAAAAAATGGCATATATTATTATAGACAAAACTAAACTAAAAAAAAACCTCCAAAAAATTACACTCCTGGTTGGAACAGCATGAGGGCTTCATTGAAAGTAATGCACAGTACAATCAACTGAAACCAGTACAAGTAAAATCCCTTAAGACAGGATTTGGACCATGGTGGGACAGTGGGGCCTCTCCATGGATCACAACAGTACAGACCTACTGGTGGGTGCATTAGGTGAACATCTGACCTGCTGTCAGCGTTGTAGACAGGTCCAGTCTGCTGAGGCCTGTAAGGAATCCTCCTCAGCTTGGATAACTCCTTGGACAGGACCTGCTGGGTGGTGTCATCTTCCCAGGTTAAACCTACAGACAGCAACAGAGGGAACCTTTAGAACCACCTCAGAACCTAAAAGTCTCTGGCTTCTTTTTCTGAGGCAGGTCTACCCCTGTGTCTCTGAGACAGAAAAGAACAAATCCCTAATTGAACTGTAAGTAACACTGCAGTGGGTTGCTCAAAAAAGTGAGTTTCATGCATGAAAAAAAGTCTGGCAGTAAGTATGGTCTAGAAAAAGGGGCGAGAAATTGCTGAGCATGCAGTTGTTCTCCTAAACTCATTAGGTCACTCATTAGCAGAGGAGACGAGGCAACAGAGCGGTGTCCTTGGAGACGCTGGTGAGCGGCTGTTTCAGTGACTAAGCAGAAACCATTTCTCCAGTCCTTTTTACTGGCGTTTACTTAATACACAGTTCACAAACAAACAACCTGACAAAGGGTGTAAGGAAGTGAAGGGTGAAAGCCACAGTTTACCCTGCATGTCTGTACACTGTTGTATTACTGTTATAGAAACAACAGTACATGAATAGCGATGATAGAAGAAAGCAGGAAACATTCCCAGAGAGCAGTTGCAGTATTTCATGATTTGCAGGTGATTTGTAGACATTGAGGTTAAAATTGCTGATATTTGGTTAAAAAGTTCAAGTTTTTGTAAAGCCAGTATGTGTAGGATTTATAAATGTTCAACTTTGATGACCCCAAGTGGTAGGGTGTGAAAACATCTGGAGACACTGTGGGCTAAAAGCAACATATTGACTGCAACAATTTTTACAGGGAGTTGCAGATGAAACAACCAATGTCTACACAAGTTGTTTAAAGTATTTTTTTTTTGGGGCTTTTTATGCCTGTAGAATTACAGGGGCCGACGGCAGCGAGGACTGTAGCCTCTACATATGGGGCGCCTGCTCAACCAACTGCGCCACTCGACGCCCCTACACAAGTTGTTTAAAACGTTTCCTTAGTATGTTGTATGTCCGGTTGTTGACCTCAACAGCCCAATATACTGAGACAAAAACCCTGGGTGTGGCCAAGGGAAACCAGAGCTTTGCTATAATGAGTCAGTAATGAAACCTGTGTCAGGTACTGGGAGGTCTGCCTTATCATATCTGCTTTCTAAGCTAACCAATCACATCTGAAAATCAGTTAATGTTTAGAACATGAGCATGTGCCTAAACTGGATTTCAACATTGTATAAATGAGAAAATATTTCAATTGGAGCAACTCTCATCAAGGAGTTGAGCATTTATTACTCATTATTCTCCAGTTAAATTCAGTGCAAAAAGGATCTGCTCTCTGAAAGACCTTAAAGAATCAAAGAAGTGACACATCAAACACATACATGAACATTAGATTTTCACCAAACCAAAAGTTCCGCAAAAAAAAATGGACGCCTCATTTGAATATAATTGGATGTGGGTATAGTCAGCTGGTAGCCAATCACATACCGAATGAGCCACTGATGGTCAACCACAAATGCAGCAGCTGATGCCGAGTGTGACACCTGAAACAGTGCAATGATCCATTTTCTAATGGAAGTGGGACCTGATGACTTAATTACCACACAAAGATTGTTGCCTAATGTATTAACATCATTCAAATCAAAGGAATGTATGTACAAGTATGAACTATGTGGATGTGGTACAGAAAAAAGGTTCCCATCTCTCTCTCTCTCTTTTCTTCTGTCAATTACAAAAATCAACACATTTTGGGTACATAAAAATGTATTATCTATTTATCAATATATGCATATATTATTAACTTCTATTTTCTTTTAAATTTGCTCTGAAATTGTCTTTTATGTCTCTTTAAATGATTTCTAAACTGTCTCTCTAATGGCAATATTTTTCTTCAGTTCTATGCTTCATCTATCACTGTTACTATGACTTCCATTTGTTCACTATTTGTCCTTATTTGGTATAATTTTTTAAATGGCAGATTATGTATCAATGACTAAGCAAAATCTTATTTGTACTGGCTGTTGAAACAAGTGCGCAAAAGGACACACTGATTAGCAGTTTGGTCATTTGTGTCTCTTTTCTTCTGGGTAATGTTTTTATTACCTGGTTGTCAAACTGTCTCTACACCAAAGTCAACCAGACCTTGTTGTGCATTTACTGGACTTGGCAAGTGACGAGTATCAGTATCAGCGGCAAAGCAAAAAAAAAAAAAAAAAAAAATCTCTTCTGCATTTCAGTGAGTGTACAAAGGACAAGCTTGATGAGCTGCTTGGGCATTCACGTCTGTTTCTTATGCTTAACATGCATCCAAACACAGCTTTTTGGCAACCGAACAGAGGAGCACGAGCCAACACCAGATGGGGTGGCGGAACGAAATGTTACCGGAAATATGGCTGCAGCCGCGCAAAGCACAACGTGAACCGAGGCATTTGGCAGATGAGCGATGACGTTCCTGAAAGATTCGAGTAATACAGACTGCAGCTCCAGATGTGATGCCACAAGATGTGGGTCCAGCACAGAGGACGCACACTTAAAATAAGAACGGGAGTCTCTCCACTGTCAGATGTAAACCCTTTATCTGGAGTTTTCAGGGAGAAAAGACAGGCTTCAGTCTAAGCCGAGGAGGGAGGCAAATTGAATATTGAATATATTGATAGGAGTTTGTAATACAGTGCAACACACAACAAATTGAACCGTGACAGCGGAGAGAAGATGAGAAAAAGATCAGTTTTAAAGCTGATTGGTTGTCACGGGTCATGATGAAGCCTGACCCTAGAGGAGAGAGAGACTGGAGGTGAAGAACAGAAAGAAATAAACGGGTGTTCAGTTATAATTCATCACTACGAGAGACCTCCTTCATATTGATATCAATTTTAAAAACAATGATTATGATAGCTGTAAATGTCCATCTCTACCCAAGAACAAATCGTAATAAAAATAAGACTTCACTCATAATTCAAAAAATTTAAGAGAAGACCTCAGAAATGGTTCATTTGGGTTTGCCCCATGGTTTAAGGGTTTAAGACCCTGGTTCAAATCTGCCTGAGGAACTTCATTGCTCATCTATCCCTCATTTCTCATCTCTCTTTTTTATCACCAGCTAATACAGATATAAATTCCCCAGTATATGCCCCAATTCAATCAAATAAGAGAAAGAAATATGTCTTTTCTTAAATCTTGTCTCCTCAGTCTCAACAGCACAATGTCAATGTATTTCATGAAATCTGAGTCCTCCTGAACCCAATAGGCGACCTATTTAGGTTTCAACGATTTTATCTAACAGAAGTTATAAGGTATTTGATATTGAAAACTCAGAGAATGACAAAGATGGTAAAATCAAGTTATGACAGATGACAGAATTGCTACAATATGTAAATTGCAGATAAAAGACTGAGCAAATCATTCAGGAGACAGGACAGGATCTTTTTGCGCAGCAGAAGTAACTCAGAATAACCAGCTGTATTCCCTGTGTACAACTCTGTTGGTACAACAAGACACTACCATTGCTTAAATCTCATTATAATGTTGATGGTCAACCATTAATAACACATTTTCAAACAACTGAACCTGCACTTCTGCCTTGATCAGCCGTGAATCTAATTAAATGAGCTGCGCTCGTTACAGAACATTTCAGCGCGCAGACACCTTCTGCAGACCCCTGCAAAATGAATTACGACCCCAACTGCCACGAATCAGGCACAAGCTTCTCTTTAACAGCTGCACAGCGTGTCAGGCCAGCTTTCACCATCAAAGAGCCATAAAACGGAGTCTTTAATGGCAGACATGGTGGCTGAGGAAACGGGCGTTAGCGGCGGGTGAACAGACGGCATCTGACACGACAGGTTAATAAACGTTGGAGCCCCCTGCCAGGATATTCAGAGTGACTCTTCGCCTCTTGCGGACTAAACCGACTACAGAAATGTGGGCAGGAGGCGGCCGGCCAGTCGAGGTGGAAGGCAAAGAGCGTTTTGAGTGAGATGCTTCCACGTCTGAATAGCTGACTAAATGAGATTCTGCTGTGGCAAACGGGAACAAAGATGCAGGATGTTTTCAGGGCTGAAGCTGGCACTTTTATCCAGAGCGAGCATCTGCAAATGAGCTTCAGTTCCTCCATGACCAGAAAAATATAGACAGGCAACAATGAGGAGGTCAGAGGTCAAAGAATAGAAAAAGTCATTTCAGATGTGGTAGTTTTCTGCTCTGCGACTTTTTCCCGCTTTTCCACTAAATTATGTTTGTGTGCTCAACAACCACCAACGGCATTATTCAATAAGAGTCACACTAATTACAACCGTGGGCAAAAACATAGCAGGCACAGCTTCTACCGGTTTAGCGCTTGATTTATCTGGACCACTTATGCAAATCTAATTTCCAAAAACCTGAAGCGCAGCCACGCTCAGTGCAGCATCACTCTAACAAAAAAACAAAAAAAAACAGCAAACAGAGAGTTTGTCTTGAGTCCTCTAAAACAAAAACCTCCAAAAATAACTTACACAGTAAAGCCCAAAATTATTCAGATGCATTTCCCACATTTTGTTGTTGTTGTTTGTTGCAGCCTGATGCCACAATTAAGAAAAAAAACCTTTTCCCTCATCAATCCACTCTTGATATACCATAATGACAAAGTGAAAACTGAATTTCAGAAATCTTTGCTAATTTATTAAAATGGAAAAACTGAAATATCACATTGGCATAAATATTCAGACCCTGACACTTGAAATTTAGCTCAGGTTTCTCCCATTTCTCTTGATAATTTTTGAGAAGTTCTGACCTTGATTGGAGTTCACCTGTGGTAAATTCAGCTGATTGGACACACACCTCACAGCTCTCACACAGGTCTCAGCTGAAAATGTATATCAGAAACAACCAAGTAATGAGGAAGGAGGATCTGCCTGCAGAGCTTAGAGAGAGGACTGTGTCGAGGCTCAGATCTGAGGAAGGACACATTCCCAAGAGCACAGTGGTCTCCATCATTCTGGAATGAAGGAAGTTTGGAACAACCAGGACTCGAACTGTCCACCCGGCCAAACTGAGCAATCAGGAGAGACGGGTCTTGGTACGAGAGGTGACCGACAACCTGATGTTCACTCTGGCTGAGCTCCAGATATCCTGATATGGAAGAAGCCTCCTTTTGATTTTGGTGTATGACTGCAACATATCATAATGTGAAAAAAGAAGCGGTATGAATACGTTTTGTAAGAGTAGCTGAAGCCAACCTCTAGTGTTGCACAGTGGTGGCGACTGATTACGGCTTGTTTCTCTTCTTCTTGTCTTTTAGTGCTTTTTAAGTTTGCTTAAAAGAGAGCTCAGACTACTGTACCGCAACCTGATTGGTCAAAGATACCAAATGTCTCTCCCTGGAAATCTTCCCATCTTCCAGCACACAGTAGCACTGTTAAACACAATATTGTGATATGGTGGTTACATTTTTTGTTGTACCTAATTCTTAATTGTGAGTGTATTTATCCGTAAACTGCCACACACACACACACACACACACACACACACACACACACACAAACACATAGATTGGATTTCCAAAACACAATAAACTAAGGGTTGAAGGTTCTGTCTTGATTCTGGGAATAGCAGTAAGGCAAAGACTACTAATTCACAAACCTTAAAGGGAAACTCAACTGATTTCACCCATCGAAGTCTGTTTACAAGTGTTGGGGCGTACATCCTCATATGTGAAAAAAAAATAGGCAGAGTGGATCGAGTTGAGATGCATTCAAGATATCTCTGTTCTCCTTTTTTACTTTCCATCATTAGTCAGACAATGTAAGTCTGATCCTGTAGAAGAGACCGAACGAACACGGCTGGGAAAGGGTTGAATTGATCGCATCCAGCTTCATCTTGGAGAGACAGCAGTTTAAAATATCCTGCCACATACATCCACCTGTTGTCAAAAGACGGATGTCCCATCTAGAAAAAGCTTGTAAATAGTGGTAAAAAAGTTAGTTTTTTGTTTTTTATATTGTTTTTTGGGGTGTCCCTTCGCCCGTCCAACCATCCATACGTCCATCTGTACGTCCCTCCCATTCTCGTGGACGCTATATCTCAGTAACGCCTTGACAGAACTTTGGCACAAACATTCACTTGGACTCAAGGACGAACCGACTAGAATTTGGTAGCTATAGTCTAAGATCAAAGGTCAAAGGTCAAGGCCATGGTGACCTTAATAAAAACTTTTTAGCCGTTACTCAATATTTCACACAGTAATTATGACAAAATTTCACAGGAATAGTTAATATTTTATATGACTGAATAAACAGGGATGTAACCTGAAACTAGTCTGAGTGCTGGAGGCAGACAACCACGAGGATGTGATTTTAGTTTTTTTGTTTGTTTTTTTTTTAGTTTTTCCTTTTGTGTGTTCAAAGCAATTTGAAAAACTCCACCAGCGTGTCCTGCTTGCTCTGGATAATCCCCAGACCTCACACTTTTCACAGTATTCAGTGAGGTCTGTGGATTAAGAAACAAATTTTTCAATCCCAATGGAACATTACAGTGAAGGACAGAAAATCTCAAAACCTGGACAAATAAAACTAAAACTAGGTGCACAGTCTTTGGTGAGCTGACCCTCTGAGAAACAGCTGTACTAAATCATTCAACGGCATAGAGGAGCCACGCAGACATTAAATAATATTAAAATACAACAGTCCCTCAAAGGTCGTACAGAGAGGTCAAGTGGGTTTTCGATGGTGTGTGCTGACTGAAGAGGAGCGTTGTTGCTGAGGGCTAATAGCAGCTCTGACCTTGGCGAGGGCGCTTTTCAAATGGTTTCATATCTGCAGGTCCTTTACTGTGCTGTTGGAGTGGCAGGGAGATCCAGTGTGTGTGTGTGAGTGTGTGTTGGAGTGTGTGCTTCTGTGTGCGGCAGCGGATGGAGGAGGGTGAACACAATCGCAAAAAAAGCTGTCTGAAAAGTGTAAACCATTAGAGCAAGAGAGGTTATTGCTATAAAAATGGTGACATGACTAAAAACAGGTCTGATAGGGCAAGAGCCACACCTTCACTTACTTAGTTTAGTCAGCCATCATATGAATTAGGGCTGAAACAATAAGTTAAGTAATCAATTACCTGATCAACAGCAACTATTTTGATAATCAACTAATTGTAAGTTATTCATTAAGCATAAATTCCTTCTTTTCTCTTTTCCCCCATTTTATTTTGGACAGATGGTTGGACAAAAAAAATGCTGTAATTTAAAATATTTAGTGATTAATTGAAAGAACAATCAAAAAATTAATCCATAATGAAAATTAACCATCAGTCACAGTCCTAAGGTGAATGTAAAATATGTGCAGCATTCATGCGCCGTGTCTAGGCTCTAACCTCGTCACTCCCCACAAGGAAACACCAATCTTAGCGCAGCGGGGAGTGGGGAGTGACGATAATAACTTCTGCCCCAGGGGAACAGAGACTTGTGATAGCATAGCTGCCAGGGGAACAGAGTCCCAGCAGGCGACCCAGCAAAGGAGAGATGCAGAGTACTGACGACGCAAGTTAACCACAACAAGGATGGTTGAAAAGCATGTCATTGGAGTGAGGTAGAACTAGTTTGCAGCCTTTGTTTCATTCGTGTGTACACAGATTTCCATTCACATTCATTATCACCTCCACATACTGTACAGCTGTTTAAAAGATCCATGTAAACTGTCTGATCGCCTTGCTGGTTGTGTTTCTTGTCTCTGTTGGTTACCATGTTTTTATAAAAGCTAACAAGACGCAAGCTGTTATAAACAAGAACTGTTTGAACTTAACCTTACTTTATACTTAAAGCTCCATATTTTACACTTTTCCTGTGTTTTATTTGGAGTGTTGATCCATAAGAAGATATATCTGTGGGTTTAAGAACCAAAAACCATCTAATTGTAGTTTTACATCTCTCTCAGGCTTCTCTCTGGAGCTCTAGTAACAACAGGTCAGAAGATATCAGAAGAGAGGAGGCTCTGAACCTCTCTTCTGATTGGCTGACTGTTTTCTGAGTGATCCAATAAAAATATAGCAGATTTAAGGTAAACATTCAGAGAAACCAAATTCTGCAAGGTTGGATGGTGGGTCCAGGTGGGTGGGGCTCAGGGCATGGCTGAGAGTGGTAACTGCTTTGTTGTGACATCACAAAGTTACAGGAAGTCCTGATGGCTGGTTTTAAGGCTCAGTTAATGAATACAGGCTGTGTGCATTTCTCTGTGGACTGAGGCTTTGATACTTTCACAGTAATAATATAAAACCTAGACCTGCTTTATAATCAAACAGCACATGGACATCTACCTTTATACTATATGGAGCTTTAAAGAAATATTTTAACATTTTCGGAAATATGTTTATTTGCTTTCCTGCAAATTAGATGAGAAGATCAATACAAATCTCATACAGTATCTATTGTTATGAAGCTGGAGCCAAGAGACAGTTAGCTTAGCTTAGCATAAAGGGTGGAAACAGGGGGAAACACCTTGCCTCATTGTAGCTGCACACATGAGAGTGGTACTGATCTCCTCATCAAAATCTCAGCAAGAAAGTGAAAGAGCGGCCCCCCTGTCCACATGTACTGTTTATAATGGGAAAAGAAAAGGAGAGATCAAACTGTGTTATCTTTTCAGTGCGCTGGCAGGCCCTCAAATGCAGATGCTTCAGTGTCTTTAGAGTTTTGTCCTCCCTAACGGCTTCTGCAGACAGCCAGGGCCAAAGATCTCATTTGCATAATTCATTTCACTTCAGAGCCTCTGACAAATGCCTCCAAACTTGTCGCCTCTGTGAAATCAGAATATTTCTCCAGCTCTCCCACCGAGTGCCGATTCGGCGAATTAAACCAGAGGAGCAGGGGTTTTTTTTCTTTCCTTTTTTTTTGCAGCCGGGAGGGAGGCAGAGCACCAAATCAGGGTCAAAAGAAAGATGGTGGAAAAAAAGGCTAGAAAGAGAAACAAGTGTTGTGCTTTTTCTTGACATCATATTCACTTGAGCGGTTGCAGGCATGTGAGACAAAGCTCTAGAGAGCAACATGCTACTTTTTTTCCCCTCTGTAGCTGAGGTCCTGTTTTTCAAAGCGAAGCTGCATGATGAAAGTGGATGAAATGCTCACAGCCGTCCAATGGGCTGATACACAGGGCTTTGCCTCCCTCTAGTGGTACAGTACAATAACAGCAACTCAACTTACAGCAGGAAAAGTGACTAGCAGCACCTGGTCATGGGTTCACACAGGTTAGGAAAATATAAAATAAATAAAAATTCAAACAACAATTCACATTAAGTCTTGATTCCCCCTACTTCAGCCTTAGCATTAGGGTTAGGGGTCAGGGGTAGGGTTAGAACTTTATTTTGAATTCAGATATGTGTCTGACAGGATGAAGGGAATCAATTTGGAATAAGATGATCAGATCTTCAGGTCCAGCATAGCAGTGATCAGCAGGAGAAGCTTGGTGTCCAGTCTCTTCAGCTCCTCCACTAAATCTGCTAACATGGTGTTTTTCAACTCGGATTGAAGGTCTCCTCTGGTGTGTCACATCATGTTGGGTGTGTGTGTGTGTTTACCTCTGTTGGACAGCTTCTCCAGCAGCATCCTGAAGCGTTGCACTACAGACGGGGAGACATCGTAGGTGTAAACCTCCTTCACCGGAACAGAGTGACACCTCCCAAACATACCATCTGTGAACACACGAGCAGACATTTTAAGTGGAGAATCTCACTCGCTTTTATATTCTGTATTTCACACTTAATTCACTGAGAGGAACAGTTTCTTTAAAAAGATCAATATTTGATGTTCAGGTTTTCACGACTGACTCGTTTAACTTCATTATAATGTTCATACAACCAGGAATAAAGTTAGTCTGTGTTAGAGTGTGGTAACTAAGTAGCTAAGAGCAATTCATACAGCTGACATATTAAAAAAGAGTCAGCGCAAACAAATGAAACCACCAGGTGAAGGATAGAAAAAGCAGCATGACACAGTACTGCTCTACACTGTCACACCAGCATTTCTATGAAAAAACATTTGCACTGAATTAAATTCATTTGAATAGAATTGGTCCAATGAGAGGATTTGTTAGCACAAAGCTTTTACATCATCAAGTTGAACTTTGGTGAACTCTGATCAGCCAACATCAAACTATGTTTACCCTGTTGATCTGAGAGGGTGGTCACTCATACACACACTTAAATGGAGAAAGCTATCATTTTAGCCCATTTTAGCTAAAAGCAGTTTCTTATTTTGTGCAAAAGCCTTATAGGGTGATTTGGTTGGTTTTTAAATATGTTTTGTTTTTATTTGGCAAGTTTGCATGCCAACTAGATAGCAAGCTCACGTTGCTAGGCAATGCAAGGCAAGTTTAGCATTGTAGCTAGCTTCCAGTAATGTTGGAAATTGGACCTTAAAGCACAGCATTATCTTCAAACCCAGGCCAACAGCATTCAAATCAAAAACTGAACATAAATCACTGATGCAGATTAACTGTATAGGAACATAAAGTATTTCAGTGGAGACGAGAACATGAAACAAACAATACCCAGAAATACAAGCTACATATCAACTGGCTGCTGTGATAGAACAGACAAATATTGGCCATGAAAAATCTGTAATTTTTAAGTTTATTTCAATACACAATAATTATGAAAAGTTAATTTATCTGTAGGAGCTTTAGGATTTATTGTTTAACTTTCTGTAACAAAGTCAAAGCATCAACAGTGTGGGACTAAACTGTACACATTCCAAATTCACTCAGAATCAGATCCAACTCTTCTCTTCAGACTTGTCATTTTATGATTAAACATGGAGCCCATTACGGAATGTGACTTTTCATACTTTCTTCTAAAGAGACACAGCGTGTCATGTTGATGTGAGCTGCAGGAAAAGGCCAGTGGGAGGCTGTCTCTGAAAATGAATTAGTGGGTGGAGAAAATGTCTAGAAAGATGACTCAAAGCACAGATATAAACAGAGATATTTTCAAGCTGTGGTCACCAGTACCTGTTGACGTCATAAAGAGTAAGTGACAATAAACAAAAGTTTGAATCAGCTGCAGATGTGTCACTTTGAGGGGTTTTATTTTTTTGCAGTGGCAGCACGTGTTTGTGTCGACATGCGCAGCACAGGAGCAGTCATGCATGCTCATCAGTCAAAAATAATAGAGATGCAAAACTCTGTTTCTCTGCTAAAAGTCAAATATTTATAGTAAAATCCAAGAATCACTCTTTTCCCAGCTGCCCTGAACATAAAACTGATAGCAGCAGATTAAAGCTCACTGACTTTTTTTTCCAGCTTTTTCTTGACTACTCTTTGTTACTACTGTTCAAAGACGAAGACAAAGTGAATAAAGTTTATTTGCTCTCTTAGCTGAGATTTGTTCTACAAAAGTAATTTTCCAGGTGACAGGATCTAAAGCAGCTGCCATGAGGATCTGCAGAAGTCATCTGTAACGCCCACAATGATGTTGATAGAGGCAACAGTTGGTTATCAAACACATGGTTCATTCATCTGCTATTTTTTAAACAGAAAAACCAACAACAAATATAATCAAATTAACATGTTAAGAAAATGTATCTGGTTTCACAAATGTATGTTAAAAAAATAAAGTTAACTGACATTGTTCAGCTCAAATGTGTCTCCTATAGATAGAGTTACTACAGTAAAAACCTTTGGGCGACCAAATATCCTCAGCCTTGTTCACAGGCTTTTACTCTGAAGAGAACACCCACCTAAAAACAGAACTCACTTCTTCACATCTGCCTCCAGCTCTCAGACAGCTCGATCAATACCTGGAGTTGTTTTAGTAGTAGTGGCAGCTTTTATTGATCTACTGTAGCAGTGGAGAGACGGAAACTTGAACACTTTGATGTATTAAGGCTGCGATAACATGACAAGGTTCTGAAAACGTGTTGCAAAACTTGACACAGCTACAAATTTCTTTTTGGTTTGTCTGATAAATATCATAAACATCCTCCCAGTGAATGAGGCAAAGCTGAGAAAACAACAACAACAACATGATATCTCAGCTTTCTCTTCACATGTCACTGTGTTAACAATGTGTGTAATCCCATTTTATTTAGACAGAAATATGTTCTAATCTGTAATATGATTCATCAAAGTGAGTTTCACTGGATTTTTGGAAAATGGAAATTTACCATCGACTTGTCCTCATTCAAGAACTTCACTTAAAACAGTATTTTTATCTTGGTAATAATGAACATGAACATGAATTTTTGGGACAAAAGCAAATACTTATATAAACCTGCACCATCTCACTGTTACTCATTAAGAAATATTAAGATTAAGATTAGATAAAAAAATAGTAAAAGCACACAACATCAGAAAAGCATACAAAATGCTTGACATATCTTACTTTGAGAGAAAGACAATCCTAAGGAACATATATGCCTTATAATTACTGGTGCATTCATGTGTGAGCAGAATTTTAATTTTGCAGCTTGAGGAGAAGAAACTACTTTTAAATACTTTGTGTACTGGTTAAGTCTAAACATAATTAGTTAGCTTCCACCACTAGGGTTGTCATGGTACTAGAATTTCAAACTCGATACCGATACCCAGGAAAATACTCGATACTCGATACCATTTTCAATACTACAGGGAGAAAAAATGACCCTAACACTTATTTAAATAAAAACTGGAACAACACAAACAATAACATCAATGACAACACTATTTTTAGGTTGTCTGAGGTAGTGCAAAATATATATATATATATATATGACCTGATATATATATATATATATATATGACCTGATATATATATATATATATATATGACCTGATATATATATATATATATATATATATATGACCTGCAAATGACCTGCAAATGTATTCAGCTACAGACCTGTTTTCTGTGCTTCTGGTGCCTTGGCACCATATTTTCGTCGCTGATCAAATAGAGTTGGTAGGGTAGGCTGCCGCTGGTTCTGTCTAGTTGCTGGTCGACTTTTCTCAGCTTCAATTTGGGACTATATATAAATATAACACTTTTCAGAAAGCAAATAATTGTGTTACCCTGTTGAATTAACACTGTCTATTAATGTTACAGACGGGTAGGACTGCTAACGTTTCTGCCTAGCCTATTATTAGCCATAGCCGCTAGCCGCTAGCAGCTATCTTAATGATAACTTAACAGACGGCTAACTGCTAATAATTAAACAGCTAATGTTAACGTGTGCCGCCGGCCAGGTAAAATAATGACGCAAAATAATTCCAAACAGCACTTTTGCTTTTTTCAATTTCAACTAAAACAGGTTGCGAAGGTCCTTCTTGTCTTCACTTGTTAATTTAGTTTTTTGCTGGCAACACCAGCTCAGTGTTGTGAACGTCAACCAGCGTTCATGTGTTCAGCTGCTAGTGAGGGGAGGGGCTGTGCGGCTACCTGTCTGCAGTGGTGCTATATGAAGTTGTGACAACTGGAGGAGGCGAAGACAGCGCTGTTGGTATCGATACTGTTGCAAATGAGTATCTAATCCGATACAAAAAATTTTATCAATTAGTATCTGTGTATTGATTTTTTTGACAACCCTATCCACCACTGAACTGCATTAATACTGAGGTGTTTATGCTACAAATTACAATTACAAGCAGTAAATTATTATTATTATTATTATTGTTGATGTTATATTCATAATTGATGTTAAAAGATGCAAAATTTACTCGTTAATAAGAAAGAATGTGTGGACGCATTTGCACTTCTATACAAGTTGTGTATGTTAATGTTTGCTGTTCTGTCCGCATGCCTCTCACTGCATATCTGCATGTATGAATGCGTGTGTGTGTGTGTGTGTGTGTGTGTGTGTGTGTGTGTGTTGCATAACAGCACTCCTACATGGTAATTCAGGCCTCTGGTCTATAAATAGCCTCCGTGTCAGTGATGTCGCCTCAATCAAACTGCGAGCTCCATTTAACGGGCAGCTGAGGATGACGAGCGGCCGGACGGCACTGCTGTAATTACTCCCCACTGTCTCACCCAGTGCCTATTCTACTGTTTACAAATGAGACGGAGGAGTGAAATGAAATGTGGGTGTGCGAGGAAGAGTCAGATAAGTGAGGAAGAAGAACTATTACTAACTACTTACCTGAGTTACATAAACTTCCTAAATATTACAGATATTGGTTTGCTTGAAGCTATTTTTTGTTGCTGTAAAATAGAGATAAATGGTGCCCATGTTACCCCTGCACTGTTAATAGGCAGCAGTTGTACTGGAAACTATTATGTCATTGTTTACTTCATTTTGTAAATTTGAAAGTTTTCATGAAAATCTTTCCAGGTGGGAAAAAAGGGATACAAAGATCTTTTCTTGTCTTCTCAACCCTAACATCTGAGTACAGACAGAGGAAATTAATCATTACAAGGCTCTCCCTTCACTGCACATAATACACTTCCATCCCTGTACCTTCCAGGGATGTCATCTGAATTATCCCTCTTAATTAAACCCATCTAGAGCTGCAGTATCATGGCCAAGATTAAAATTCAATTATTTTGACACTGGGTGACAGAGTGGCCTAGATTTTACAGATGAGGCAGTTCCTCAGCAGGACTACGTTCAAGTTCTGCTGTGCTGAAGTGACCCTGAACAAGAACCTGAATCACTGCCACCTCCTGGTCTGATTTACTCCAAAGTAAAACCAAGAGAAAAAAAGAAGAAGCTATGGCTG